CCTTTCCTAAGAGGTCTGTAGGGGGCGTGCATAAGCGCACCAACGTGCCTACCGTCCCTGTCCTATTGTTTCTCTTATTCTTCTTTTATTTTTCTTATATGTATCCATTTCATGTATTCACAACTATGTATACACTTATACTTATTATCTTGTAAACAATTGGCAAATCAAATAAATAAAATAAATAAATGTATTCATAAATATACCCAATGTGGAAGTTTAATGGTGCAGTTTTAGTGAAAGAAACAGTGTGATATAAAATAACAATGATATATCTACCTGGTTTTGATTGTTGTGTTTTTTGACCAGGATGACTTTTAGGTTTGGATGGATCATGATATTTGATATTTAGACCTGAAAAGAAGCAACAAATTTAATATGAAATGATGTCCTTGTGTGAGAATTATTTATCATAGTGATTCAAGAAATAGCAATTACAAAAAAAAAATAGAATTCACAAAAGAATTCACAAGAGAGACCAGAAGAACTAGAAGGGAATCGATCAATTTTGCTGCTTTACTTATAGTTTTAAATTTATTCTTTGGATTAACAGTTTCCAGTCTAGATTGCAAATTTGACACCAGAGTACCTTTTTTCTTGGAAGAAGGATGGTGTCACTTGAATTTTTTCTGGCTCAAAATCCATTCTTACACAATTTTTTCAAATATGTGCAAATTCTGAAAGGCTAATTCTAACACATGTGGTAGATACCAGCTAGAGTACTGTATATTAAGAACAGAAAAAACATTTTTTCCCCATCTAAATTGTAGGAGTTTGTCATAGAAACTCCGTTTGCAATGTAATTGAGTGTATGTTAGAGATCATGTCTTCCTGTGTCATAACAGCAGCAATTTTTAATTCATCCTTTCAGTAGCTGCATTTTCAGAACTTCAGTTTCTCAAGAAAATGGAAAACAAGAACAGTTACAACTCTTTATTCCAAGGGAGATTCTATTTTGCTGTTTAATCTGGCAAAAATGCTGGCATTTGCAACTCATTTGGGTCCTGTGCCTTGATCCTGTGCCTTAATCTAAGGTGTTTTTTTCTTTTATTTTCAGATAATTCTTTTTAGGGAATATGACTTTTTCAAATAGCAAAAGCTTGAAAAGGTTTTTTTTTAAATAAGTAAATAATCTTACTTTACTTATTTCAAATTGACTTGAAAAAATCTTACTGGTCGTTCAAATTATATTAGATTTCATTAATATAAGGGGGGAAATGGATATCTAATTCAAATAGCAAACATGTAAAATAGTTAAATTTGTACTGATTTAAATATATAGAATAAAGGGTTAACTTTACATCTGTTGTGCAACGTTCTCATGTTAAAGGTATTCTGAGCATAATCCAAGTTGCAAAAATTGTTTAGGTTAATGGCAAAGACAATCTCCTGGTTATTTTCTAAACCTGGAAATGCCTTTTACATGAGAAATTACAAAAAAGGAAACTTTTTTTTAATAAGCCAAAAATGTGGTTTAAAAGAAAAAATGTTATTCTGGTTGCTAAGAATGAATTCATTCTTTTGTTTTATACTCTGTTAGCATGTCTGTCCTATATTTTAACAGATAAGTTTCTATTCTATTTTTCCTGAAAAATCAATTAACTTTTATTTTATAATGTGTGATTTTTCATCCCACCATTTTTGAAATGCATCTCTCTCTCTCTCTCCCTCTCTCCCCCCCCTCTCTCTCACACACACACGAACATAGACACAAAACAGGTTTTTTTTTCATTTTTTCATTTTAGTTATACACAAATACATGTTTTTCTCACATTATTTTATGTGACTATGTAAGATGGAACTCTATTAAATATATTTAAAACAAATTCCTGAAAGTCAAAATAATGAATTACTCACTGGATTTGTTTGGGGTTATATCAGGACTGGAAGAAGTTATTAGTCTGGTTGGAACTTCATGTGCTTCCTTAGGAGCTGTAAGAAATTATACTGAGATTTTTTAAAACTTTAATATACCAAACTATAGAGAATTCAGAAAAACAGTCCTACAATTTTTATATATATATATATATGTATGTATGTATGTATGTGTGTGTGTGTGTGTGTGTGTGTGTGTGTGTGTATAGTTTTCTTAAGTTTTCGCGGGTACTTACATGTATGGCCTTCAGCTTTGTTCGGGTATTTTCCCACGTCATTATAGTTGTGCTTTTAAAGTTGTAGCAACGTTTCAGCAGAATCTCATCTGCCATCATCAGGCTTCTGTATAGTGTTCGTTTGTGAGTCAGACTTTTACAGTGGTTTCAGATTTAAATTTGGTGCAGCCTATTGCTGTGCCAGAATGGTTTTTTCTTCATCCTGATTGGTTGGGAGTCTTGGTCTGTGTTTATTGGTCTCGGAGTTTGCTGTGTTCTGCTTGATTGGTGTCT